AGGTGGAATGTCCCCGTTGTGGGACTAATAAGGGTCACTTAATTTAATTTTAATTAATTTTAATAACACAATCAACCAATCAGTCAATCAGCTCTATCTCTATAGATAACGCTGAAATGCACAGTTTCTGTTGGCGGTGAAACATTCTCACTTATTCTCGAGAGGAGATCCAGTCATAACATGCCGGATAGACTCGGCTTTGTTATGATTGGCTCGTCTGGCTGTGATGGTTGGTGAGAGTTGAAGGGGCTGAGGCTGGTGTTCTGTAGAAACCTGTGCTGTCAGAAGACGAATGTGACTAAAGCAGCTCTTTACACTTCCACCCGTCTCTCTTCTCTCTCTGTGAGCAGCTCTACAGCTCAGTTTAGCCATGTTAGCATTAACTGGTCTATTTTTAAAGATTCCCATGTAACAGCTTTCATTTTGACTTTGAACTCTGAATTGGTGGATTTATGTTCATATGATGCACGATCATGTATTCGTCCTACGGTTAGGTTAGGGTTTTCCTGTGACTGAGCAGCTTGTATCTCCTCTAAACGGCTACAGAGCACACAACGGGGTAAGATAACCTCACTTCACGAGCAGAAAGGCATAGAAACGTTTATCTGGTTTCAGTTCACATCTTTAAGACCAGAGATTCAGCCCAATGCAAACATTTCAACATCTGGAGCACGAAGGTGAGACAAAGTTCTCCTGTGTTTTCAGATGGCGTTCGCCACATCAGAGGGGATTTTTCGGGTCTGTTTTCTTCACCAACCACGAAGCCTCAAACCTCCACACGCTTCATTAATTAGTCACGAAACAGCTCGTCACCTGAGCGTTTCTGAGCATGTCACAGCTCTGATTTGAGGAGAAAGATCATTGTAATCAATGTAAGTTTACACATGCATGGTTACTTTGCATACTTCTGTTGTGTGCAAAAGTTTGTACACCCCCCCCAGGTCAAATGACAAGTTTTTTGATGTGCTAAGTGAAAATAAGTTAGTACATCCACACAGCAAGAAGGTTCTGCGTTCGATTCCCCGGCCGGGCAACCAGGCTCCTCTCTGTGTGAGGTCTGCATGTTCTCCCTGTGTCAGTGAGGGTCAGTCCAAAGACATGCGGTCAGGCCAACTAGACAAACTAAAGTGGCTCTTCAGAACAGAGCTTATCCATAAACGAACTGTACAGACTTTTATGGGGGCTCTTTACACTGTAACTCCAGTGTATACGTTTTATTATCACTCCATCTTTATGTACGATTCTATTCTAACCTGTTCAGACGAGTATCAGTGCAGGTGTTTTCATCTGGGTTTTTATTTTTTCATTCAGGTCTCTGTAATTATTATCAGACTGCCTGAGAAGAGACCCCCAAGCCCACCACCCCCAGCCCCATCCCCTCCACCTCTACCCACAACCCCAGGATCACCCCCACCTCCACCGCTGATGACCACCACCAGGAGAGGGGACAATTAACCTGCTGTTACTGAACACAGAGGCTGATCAACACTTCAGCCCAAAGCCACAGAGAGTCAGTCATTTTACAAAACAACACAAGACGCCACTTGATAAACGATACTGTGTTAGCATGAGCCGAATTAAACGACAGTGACCGACGTTTGTTCCATTTCAACCACTGTTATGAAGCTGTTGTGGTGCTGCAGCCTCTTATGTTACTTGGAACCACCGGCGGTTCACACTTCGTCATGTTCTTCATAACTTTCATATTTCATAAGCTACATTCTAAAGGTGGGCGTCGTATGAGAGCTGTAACTGTCTTCTTTCCAGTCAAATAGATGGGTGATGTAATTTTAAACCCTTATAATAAAAGAAGCTGAACTCACAGTTTTTTGTCTACTGAAAGTCGACCCATTTTTCCACAAATCTGGGCTATAAACTATAAACAGATGGCGTCTCTTCAGTGATCTGCTCTGTAAACATTATTTTATAAAATAATACAAAGAGCGTCTAAGATTTTTGGCTTTCAGCAGTGAATTGTAAGCATATAGTGATATGTGTATAATCATAAAACACACATTCTGTTGAGGGGAGCTTTTACCAAAAATAAATAAATAAATAAATAAATAAATATGTACTTTTATTTCATGCAGTTACTGAATAATTTGCCTTCTGATTTGATCGTGTAAATTCAGATGGACAAACCAAAAAAGAACAACATTCACCATAATTATACTGAACAGGTTTAGACTCAGAGCTGAAACCCATTCTGGACTTTTAAACTGATCTTGGACTTCAGACTAAAGTCCTTTTGCTCTGAGTGACTCTAAACCTTAATTATGTTTATTTTATTAAAACTAATGATCAAACACTCCAAAACAATCATAACTCTGCCAAACTTTACCAAATGTTTCATTAGTGACTGTTTCAGTAGTGACTGTTTCGGTTGTGACTGTTTCAGTAGTGACTGTTTCAGTAGTGACTGTTTCATTAGTGACTGTTTCAGTAGTGACTGTTTCAGTAGTGACTGTTTCGGTTGTGACTGTTTCAGTAGTGACTGTTTCAGTAGTGACTGTTTCATTAGTGACTGTTTCAGTAGTGACTGTTTTAGCTCAAAATTTTAGCTCATTTTATTTACTATCCAGAACCACCAGTGAACCTACACGAGTCTTCTGAGTTTATATGAATGTTGATGATGGAAAATAGTGGCTCTGGCTCGGTAAGTTTCTCTAGAACAGAGCGTTTCACACCAAACCACTCTGAACCGCTCTGAACCACTGTTTACATCTTAATTAGTTGGTTATGCAGGAATTTTGAAAACCGGGTGGAGTTCCCCTGTAGGTCCTCAGGCTGAGTGGGAAACCTGTAAAGGGCGCTTTAACAGAGTTCCCTCTGGTTTGTTCGAGTTTCTCCGTCCTCAGTGACCGAGCGCACGCGCAGCTCTGCGGTTCTTAATGAGACATATTTAATTCAGAGACCAATCAGGCCGGATTTACAGTTGTAGTTTTTTCCTAATCTTTTTACTACAAATTGACGCCGTTTTCCTGCGACAGCCGGCGCGTCACATCCGGTGCGGTGCATCCTCATTCGTCCCCCAGCATAAGCTGCACCCCGAAGGCCCCACTGTGGAGCCGCCGCGCCCGCCTGATTTACCCGCTAGCAGAGCTAGGGAAGCTAAGCTATGCTAAGCTAACGCGGATTCTCCCGAACACCCTCTGACCTCGGCTCAGACCGGTGAGAGTGTCGGCGGCGGACTCGGCCGGACTCGGCTCCCGATTCTGATCCAGACGATGAGGTTTAAAAGGAGAAACGGACGGTTTTAATGTTTGAACTGCGACACTGGCGAGTTAGCGAGCCTCGTTAGCCTCACAGCTAACCGTGCTGTGGTAAACACGGCGGAGTATGAGCGCCGATACACCGGAGCGGCGATGAAGAGGACCAACGCTGCCGGAGATCGGACACATCAGAACCTACTTCACACAGTTAATCAGACAGATATTCAGATATTTTATATTTACATTTTTTAAATAATAATTAAGAGTAATTATTTGTAAAATTGAAATCTTGAAAATATTTCAGTATTTTAAATATTTAATATTTAAATGTACATTTTATATTTTAATATTTTAATAGTTTTAAAATGTGAAAAAATTGAATAGCAAAAATTTTTTTACCATTTTTAAACTATTAAAATATAGCCATAGTACCTGTATATTAGAATATTTAAAAATATTCTGTAAATATTAATGTTAATTAGTATAATAAATTATAAAAATATCAGATAGACATTTTAGATATTTAACCCAGTAACTCAAAGTGATGATTGTCCGATAGTAATACAGCTCAGTTATGGCCCGATTGATCAGTCATCAATCATTTATCAGCATCAGATCAATAAAACCGTTGGAGATCAGAGTCGGTTCTAGAACTGAGTGGGAACTTTTAGTCCTCTTACTCCGTCCAGTGGAGGAACTGAAGCTCAGAGAGGAGTGACCAGTCCACAGTCCACACACTCAGTGCATTGTAACACAGTGGACGTAACAGGATCAGCAGGTGAAAGTACAAGTCCATCAAAATTTCACCTGCAGTGTGTGGAACTGAGCAGTTCAGCTTCCAAAACATCTGTGATCCAAACACACCTGAACTGTCTCATTACTGAATGTGATGTGTTTTTCCATATAACATATATCAGCACAATTTCAATAAACATTTTTGACAAAAATACGACAGAATGTTTGAAAATGTGTGTCGTGTCCTTTTTGGTGTGGTCATTTTTATTGTCCAGCTGATGTGAAGATGATGGGGCTGCAAAATGTTGAACCTTCATTGTTTCAGATGAATAAAGTGTTGATAGGTGGTTACTAAGATAGCACCGGTGGTTGCTAGATAGCTGCTAGGCGGTTGCCATGGTATCCCAGGTGGTTGCTAGGTGGTTGCTATGGTATCCCAGGTGGTGTTTATGGTGTTGTTAGACGGGCGGTAGCTATGGTATCCCAGGTGGTGTCTATGGTGTTGTTAGGCGGGCGGTAGCTACGGTATCCCAGGTGGTTGCTGTGTCATCCCAGGTGGTTGCTAGGATGTTGCTAGGCAGTTAGTATGGCATACAGATGTTTGGATGTTTCTAGTGTACTTCTATCAGTAAGTGGAGCGCACAAACTTTTGCACACACACTTCTGCCATTCAGTTCTTTGGAAAAAAAAACAGTTATTGAATGATGATGTACGAAAACAGTCCGATCAAAAGGCTGCTCACAAAGCAAACCATTCCCAATAAGACTGAGCTTGTGGGACGAGTTATCAGACAAAAAATCCGGCAGGAAAATAATAATAATAATAGTAATAATAATAATAATACTAATAATAGGAAGAAGAAAAAGAACAACAACAACAACAAAAACTGATAACAACAGCGCAGTATAAACAAGACGTCCCGCCCACGGCCGCTGAACGACAGCTCAGGTTCCTCTTCTCCGCCAATCAGATTGCGAGCGGAAGCTGGAGGGTGCAGGATTCGGCGGAGTGCGGATGATAGCGCAGCACCGCCGGCTCGGCTTGTGTGTGGGTTTCCCTGCGCGCGCTGCAGGGGGCGAGACGCCGGAGCGCTGAGAGCGACGCACAGCCGAACTCGGCACAGCACCGAAACACACGAACACAGGGAGACGAGCGGAGCATCCAGCGGCGGAGCGGCGACACGGAGCATCGGTAAGCCTCAGTGGAAGCACACGGGGATCTGCAGCCTCTGCCCGGCCGCTGTTCTCAGTTCGGCGAGCGGCTGGTCCGGGAGTTAGCGGGTTAGCTTCCTCAGGCTAGCGCCGCTGCTTTGTCTCGGAGCGCACGCTGCCGGATTCGGTCCCCCCCCTCTCTCCGTCGGGCTGATTATTCCCCGTTTTCCCTCACAGATCGCCCCCAAACTACACTCCCGGCTCCTGCTCCGACTGCGCGCCCCGACAGGGCCGGCCTCGCCCCGGCCGAGCGGGATTAAAATCCTGCCGTCTCATTTGCGGCGATAGCGTTAGCGTTAGCTTTAGCGTTAGCTCGGGGCTGTAAGTGCGTTGCGCTCCTCGCTTTCGCTTTTCCTCTGTTCAAACTGCGCACTGACCGAAATGACCACCGCGGACCCTCTGCAGAGGCAGGACCCCCCTTCTTCACTGATATCAGCGACGTGTTCGTCTTTCGGTACCAGCCTGCAGTCGGCTTTCTGATTCTCCAGCTTCTGGTTCGAATTGCCCCGGTCCACCTTAAATGGCGCAGCAGTTACGGGCGCCTCGTAATGTCACTGCTGCGCCGTTTAAGGTGGAACGGGGGAATTCCAACAAGGAGCCGGAGAGTCGCCCTTTAATCGCGTGGTTTCTTTGATGGACCGCTTTTCTCCGTTTGGGCCGAACCGGCTGCGGGCAGTACGGAGGTTATCCTGGCCAGCGGGCCGCTTTTCAGCTGTTCTGTTCGGGCCGTACCGGAGTTTGAGCGGCGGTTAAAGCTGCTTCTCTGAGGGGAAGTGAGGCCTGAGCGCTCCGCCGGCCCCCATTGTTCTCTCTCGCTCCCAGGCCCGGCCTGATCACGACACCTGCGTTCTCACCGTGTTCCCCGTGCGTTCTCCTCTATGTTCCCCTTCGGTTCCCCGTGTGTTCCCCTTCTGTTCCCCGTGTCTTCCCTCTGTGTTCCCTTTGTGTTCTCCTTTATGTTCCTCTTCTGTTCTCCATGTCTCCCCTTTATTTTCCCCATGTGTTCTCTATGTTCTTCTTCTGTTCCCCGTGTCTTCTCTCTGTGTTCCTCTTCTGTTCTCCATGTCTTCCCTCTGTGTTCCTCTTCTGTTCTCCATGTCTCCCCTTTATTTTCCCCATGTGTTCTCCTCTATGTTCCCCTTCTGTTCCCTGTGTGTTCCCCATGTGTTCTCACCATGTTCCCCTTCTGTTCCCCGTGTGTTCCCCGTGTGTTCTCCTCTATGTTCCCCTTCTGTTCCCTGTGTGTTCCCTTTGTGTTCTTCTTTATGTTCCTCTTCTGTTCCCCATGTGTTCTCACCATGTTCCCCCTCTGTTCCCCATGTGTTCTCCTCTGTTCTCCTTCTGTTTCCTGTGTGTTCCCTTTATGTTCTCCTTGTGTTCCCCATGTCTTTTGTTTGTTCTCCTTGTGTTCCCCATGTCTTTTGTTTGTTCTCCTTGTGTTCCCCATGTCTTTCCTTTATGTTCTCCTTGTGTTCCCCATGTGTTCTCCTTGTGTTCCCCATGTGTTCTCCTTGTGTTCCCCATGTGTTCTCCTTGTGTTCCCCATGTCTTTCCTTTATGTTCTCCTTGTGTTCCCCATGTGTTCTCCTTGTGTTCCCCATGTGTTCTCCTTTATGTTCTCCTTGTGTTCCCCATGTGTTCTCCTTGTGTTCCCCATGTGTTCTCCTTTATGTTCTCCTTGTGTTCCCCATGTCTTTCCTTTATGTTCTCCTTGTGTCCCCCATGTCTTTCCTTTATGTTCTCCTTGTGTCCCCCATGTCTTTCCTTTATGTTCTCCTTGTGTTCCCCATGTCTTTCCTTTATGTTCTCCTTGTGTTCCCCATGTCTTTCCTTTATGTTCTCCTTGTGTTCCCCATGTCTTTCCTTTATGTTCTCCTTGTGTTCCCCATGTGTTCTCCTTGTGTTCCCCATGTGTTCTCCTTGTGTTCCCCATGTGTTCTCCTTGTGTTCCCCATGTGTTCTCCTTGTGTTCCCCATGTGTTCTCCTTTATGTTCTCCTTGTGTTCCCCATGTCTTTCCTTTATGTTCTCCTTGTGTTCCCCATGTCTTTCCTTTATGTTCTCCTTGTGTTCCCCATGTCTTTCCTTTATGTTCTCCTTGTGTTCCCCATGTCTTTCCTTTATGTTCTCCTTGTGTTCCCCATGTCTTTCCTTTATGTTCTCCTTGTGTTCCCCATGTCTTCCCTTTATGTTCTCCTTGTGTTCCCCATGTCTTCTCCTTTATGTTCTCCTTGTGTTCCCCATGTCTTCCCTTTATGTTCTCTCTGTGTTCTCTCTGTGTTCCTGATGTGTTCCTCTTGTGTTCCAGCGTCCTAACCTGTCTACCTGAAAGAGATGGTGATGGAGAAACCCAGCCCCTTGCTCGTAGGGCGCGAGTTTGTGAGGCAGTACTACACACTCCTCAACAAAGCACCTGACTACCTGCACAGGTGAGTGAAGACGGAGCGTTCTGGATCCTCCTCCTGCGTCCGCAGCTCATCAGAAGCTGTTCTGACGCCGTCTCTGCTCTTTAAGTGACAGCGAGTGCTGTGTAGGATCTAAAGACTGGAGATCATCACTGAGAACTCAGACAGAACGTCTGAGGCGGTACAGTTCAGGGTTTCGGTGAGGGGGAACGGGTTCCGCCTCAGATCAGCTGGTTTTTCAGGGTGATCTCAGTCGGCTGCGTCTCCGCAGCACAGCGGACAGTGGGTTTGGTAAAGCAGGAGCGTCTGACCACTGGGCTCTGTTATAAATGAGCTTCAGAGGTTCTACTGTTCTTTTACTCAGCGCAGGGAACCAGATACGTTCTGCAGATAGAGATTAGATGTGCCCCTTCAATTTAGGGGAGGGCTTTATGGTAAAACTGTAATATTATACGTCAAGACATTTTCACAGTACGCGTCACAGTATTGGGTTCTTTGGGATTTAATAAGTTGGAACAGACAGAATAGAAGCTGTAGTATATAAACATGCTCTAATAGTAATAACACATTAATAACTACAGTGATTTTTGATCACTGCACTTCAGATCCAGTTAAACAGGCCTAATTATGTTCAACTCGTAATGAAACGTGGTCAGTCAGTGTTTAAGCACTGACGATGTCCAGGTTATGCTCAGGAAAGCGGATTGTGAGAATTTATCACAATAACGGTAAAATACTGTCGTATTGCCCAGCGCCACCTCATCAGAAACACCCACAGTGCTTTTGGGAGACGACGCCCCAAATAAACCTTCGACACTCATCATACGAGACGACAACACAGCAGTTAAACCTCTATTTCATCTCTAATTATGGATTTTCTGATCTCTATAGTCCATTTTCACACTTCCGTGTTCGTCAGCGTGGAAGAGTAAGTAGTAGTGTTGAAGAGCTTCCGGTCGCTGTGAACAGTGGCTGATACGGCCTGGAAACACTGTCTTATTCGTTAATGCACCAATAATTCAACCGAACAGCCTCAGCTGAGTTTCCACTCGATCAGATTTAAAAACGTTCAAAGATCTGCTCGTCATGTGTCACTTTTAATGAGGTAACCAATCAAAAAAGAGCAAAGCTGATCTCTGAACGCTGGTGATGTAACTGCTCACCTGTTAACTGAAAACCGGCGCCGCTAAACGCTGCAGGAGGAAGTGCGATAACATTACTGTTTACAGCCGGATGTGACGACGCAGAGACTGTGAAGAGGGTCTGTCGCGAGCTCAGTTAAAAGGCTCATATCTTACGGTGTGTATTTTATTTAAGGTCCACTTTTAACATTTGTGTGGTTTTATGTGTGAAAGTTCATCTCTACATCACCGTTTTCCAGCCTCTCTTTCTCCTGGAGTTTAACTCTTTTAGTTACTGTACCTGTAAGACTGATATATGTAAATCAGCTCTGTTCTGATTGGCTGCCCTGTGTTGAGCCTCATTCAGAAAGCAGTCCAGGCTGAAACACTCCTTATAACTTCAGCGTGAGAGGGTGGAGCTAGACTGCTGTGGATATGTGTGACATCACAAAAGCAGGATATCCAAAACAGATGGTTTTCTGTGATGTGGGGCCTTTAAATCTGATTATTCTCTATAAATTAAGCTCGGGGCCTTTTAACCCCCCCCCACCCGGAAGACCGATACGTCCAGTTTTCGCTCTGAAAGAACAGGCGTGTCTCGCGCTGGGGGTAAAGAGTCGTTTTTGGCTGCTGCTGTGCGCCGCGCGGGGGTCTCTCAGCGCGTATCCACGTTCAGCACTTCAGAAACACGGACGATGTTGGCGTCTCTCGTGCGTTTCCTCAGTCTGAGTGGTGGAGCTTCGTCTCTGCGCTGCGAGAGCGTCAGCGGGAGGGGAAAGTCCATCAGAAAAGCGGAATTAAAAGGGCGATTATTACGGCATCATCTACACGCGTTACTCTATATTCATGGTATCATCAGCTCTGTTCTCTGCGATCGTATGACCACGAGTGACGCAGAGATCGGGTTCATAAACTCTCCTAAACCCTGTTTAACCCTGTTAAACCCCCTCCTGCAGGGAGTTTATTGCATGTGAATTTTTATCACTGAGGAGTAAAACTTTATTACAGACGTTCAAACAGCTCCAGTCAGAGCAGCCTTTTGATGTGCTGTCTTTGCTTTTGTTCACCTTAATCGTTTATCTAATTGTCTTTTCTCTCCGTTTCTCTCTCAGGTTCTACGGCAGGAACTCCTCATACGTGCACGGAGGTCTGGATGGCAGCGGTAAACCCGAGGAGGCCGTTTATGGCCAGGCAGTGAGTAGATGTTCCTCCGTGTTGAGGGAACAGTAACCGCCGCACTGTGAAGTTCTTTCTTCTCCTTTATTCTAAAAATATCCCCTCGGTCCGATTAACGCCGCCTGCAGATCCGACTGACGGGAAGCTACGTTAAAGAAGTGGTTCACTGAAAAATCAGGTTTACTGGTTTTCCCCTTTTATCCTGAACACAGCCGGTCAGTTTAGATGTTTCTTCTTTAGCTTTACTGCTGGAGCTACGAGGCTAATTAGACCAGTAATGGCCGTTTACAGCCCACTGAGTGCTGAACAGCGGTTAGACCTCTTTATAGGAGCCGCAGAGGAGATTCAGAGAGCTGTGCATGAATAACAGCAAAACAAAAACAGATTAAAAACTTAAATAAACAAAAGTTACATGTCGCTGCTGTCAGGACAAAACCTCTCATCTCCAATGGTAGCTTTACAGGAGAAGGAAAAAACATACTTTACTCCTAGTGGAAGTCAGTGGAACCAGAATTTTATCCAGGTCATTTCGGGTCGTTTCTTTTGGTCCATTCATCCTGAAATTTACACACAACGTAAAGAAAAATAGGCGTTTTCAAATCGTCATAAACTGAAAAAATGACCTAAACAGAGATACGAGGTTTTCTTCACACCGCAGTGAAATATTGATCATTTTGAAAGCAAACAGCTCATCATCTGTGTTTGGGGTTGTGGCTGTAAACTAGGTTTTCAGCATTTCTTTAAAGGAACAGCTTCACCAAACATGCTAATGTGGCTAACAGTGATTGGACGTCGGTCGATGCCAATTCACAGTATTTAATATTGACTGGCGTTGAAAAAGTTTCAGTAATTTTGATTAATATTACACTTATAAAGATGGCTCTTCAAGGGTTCTTAGTAAAGGCAGTGTTTCCATTTGGAACCTCTTTGAAAGTGGTTCTGTACAGCACCACAAAGGGTTCTTCTACTGTTACAAGCGTGACATCGTAGCATTTTCAGAAAGGTTCTACACTGAACCTTTTGAGAGCTGTTCGGAACAAAACCTTCCATCTGCACAAACCGTGAAACGTTCCTAACGCTGAGTCGACGTAAATGATCTAGAACTTTGTCCAAGTAGTTTTGGAGCTTTTCCGTCGGTCCGTTCATTGTGAAATTTTAGCTGGTTGTAAAGAACAGTTATTGTTTTCAGATTAAGAATATATATATATAATATATATATATATATATATGTATGTGTGTAAAGCAACAAAAATGGAAATACAAGGTTTTCCCACAACAGAGATAAAACACTTCTCCATCAGTCTGGAGAACCATGTCACCGTGCAGAGAACCATTTAAGCATGAAACGTCTCTATATAGTACTCATAGGTCCGTCGCCTTCACTGAAGAACCTTTAGGATGTGTGTTTTTGTAAGAATGAAGGTTTTTGACTGTCGTTCCTTTAGACGCAGATTAAAGTCCAGAACTGAGCTGAACTGCCTGATTATACAGGATCTCAGATGCGGGTCTGGACTTCAGTACAGCTGGTGCTCAAATCTGCATTAATAACTGGTGTATTTGGTTCTGATGGGCTGTAGAAGGAACACTGAACAGAACTTCAGATCTGACGGGTCAAAACAGATTTTTCACTGATTCGTATTACAGAAGCAAATCTGATCTGAATTTAGGAATCTAATCTTATCTTACAGCGTCTTTTCTTATCTGAAGTTAACTGTCATGTCTGTTACTTAGCAACCAACCATACGTGCACAACTGAGACGTAAACACGTAACCAAGTTAGTCGGACAGTTAACGTTAGCTACCGTTACCGCGGCAAAAAAGGTCGAACAGAACTAAAGTGTGATAAACTGTGAGTAGTGAAGACTGTGAGAGCGCCCCCTGCTGTTTATCAGAGCATCGCCGCTCCACAGTTTCAGTCTCCATTTCCCAAACGCTTTAGCCGAGCGCGCTAACGTTACTCCTCCTAATAAACAGACCCACGTTCAGCTCCGTCTCCTCATTATTATTATAGACTTAAGACCTGCTGTTCTGTAACGGCTTCTGTCCTAAACTCTTAACTGAGTCTTAACTGAGGTTGCCATGACAGCAAAGCATCTCAGGGACCCCCATGGACCCTCACAGAGCAGGTACTATTTGGGTGGTGGATCATTCTCAGCACTGCAGTAACACTGACGTGGTGGTGGTGGTGGTGTGTTAGTGTGTGTTGTGCTGGTACGAGTGGATCAGACACAGCAGTGCTGCTGGAGTTTTTAAACACTGTGTCCACTCACTGTCCACTCTATTAGACACTCCTACCTTGTCGGTCCACCTTGTAGATGTAAAGTCAGAGACGATAGCTCATCTGCTGCTGCACAGTTTGTGTTGGTCATCCTCTAGTCCTTCATCAGTGGTCACAGGACGCCGCCCACAGGACGCTGTTGACTGGATATTTTTGGTTGGTGGACTATTCTCAGTCCAGCAGCGACACTGAGGTGTTTAAAAACTCCAGCAGCACTGCTGTGTCTGATCCACTCAGACCAGCACAACACACACTAACACACCACCACCACGTCAGTGTTACTGCAGTGCTGAGAATGATCCACCACCCAAATAGTACCTGCTCTGTGAGGGTCCATGGGGGTCCTGAACACTGAAGAACAGGGTAAAAGGGGGCTAACAAAGTATCAGAGAAACAGATGGACGACAGTCTGTAACTGTAGAACTACAAAGTGCACCTATATAGTAAGTGGAGCTGATAAAATGGACAATGAGTGTAGAAACAAGGAGGTGGTCAGAATGTTGTGACCGGTGTAAACTAACTCACACTATAAGTAAAGGACGTTCTCTCGTTCTCTCCTGTGAACTCGCCGTTTTGGAGACACTGTTTTTCTTTGTCCAGTGACAATATAAACAGTGCTTGTGGACACTCGTGATCTCTGAACTCTCTTGGACGCGGTGGCGTTTCTGTGGTTACGGGCGTGATGGGCAGCCGTGCCCGGCCCCGGTGGACGGGCGTCAGGAAATCTGACCCCTGATCAGACGGACTCAAATATTTACTGGTGTGGAATATTCAGCCGCTGCCAGCTGGAGCGATTCAAGGCCTTTAAGAGCAGCGAACACTGCGGAGTCTGGAGGCTCCTGCTTTCATACTGAGATCAGACGCTCTCAGGACGGCGGTTCGCTCTTTCATCCTTCCTGGTAATCGATGTGAAAAGCCTCAGTGATCAGGTCTGAAATGCTAATGTTGCTGGACGCCGTTCTGAGAAACTGAGGACGGCAGGAAACCAAACGAGCGCCGGATTTCAGCGCTGTAACAAATGTTCGATTGTTTAACCCTTTATTGCTTTATCACCTAAACATGATCAAGTTTTAATGTTTTTGTTATTTAAAATGCTTAAATAATGGTAATATTTAAAAATATATTTATTATTAAAATTAAGTGGGGTATTTGGTAAATTGTTGTTGCCATATGGCAACAATGCGCAGTCGTACCACAGCACCATAAAATAAAAAATAACAACATAAAATCTGATTTTTCTCTGAAAACGTCCTTTTATTGAAAACAAGACCAGACAAATCCAACTTAGACTCAGTGAAATGTACGACCCAATATTTACAAATATTGGAAATTAATACAATTTCAGTTGTGTTTGGAATGGATGGTAATAACAGCGTCATAATGAAAATTCCTGGTCATGTGGTGTCGAAGTATTTGTCCTTTCAAAGTAAAAGACCCTTTTTCCATAATTAAATGGGAGAAAACAGATTTTATTTTACAGCTTTTTAGTAAAATTGAGAGAGAGAGTTGCCGTAAGGCACCGTGGTACAGTGGAGGGTTAATGATTATAATATTCCACTCAGCGGCTCCAGTAACTGATGGTTTTTCCAGTTTTTGTGAAGTCGCCCTGCTGTGCATCAGTTTTTATATCGGTTTGTCTGTTAGTCAGACAGTTCTTTCCTCTCAGAGCTCTGTGGCCTCAACTCTCCTCCACTGCCCATCACTGACGCCATCCCACCGTGTCAGCAGCCTAGCTGGGGTTGCCAGATCCAGCAAAATTCCCCTGGATTTTATGCTATTTGCTAAGATGACAGTTACAGCCCTCATTATCAAAAACGTCACAAGTTTTAAGAGGGGAAATTGAACCTAATAACAGAGTTGTTGCCTGTGGTGTTAGACCAATCAGAGGCAACCAAACCTCCATGTGTTGTGACATCACAACCACAACTTCCCGGCTTTCTGGCTCACTGCGTTTAGCAGTTAAGGCTGAACCTCAATTTATAGAAAACGATCGCAGTTTAAATCGCAGCCGCAGTATTGTTCAGATATTATTCAGACAAATCAGGAATGAAAATTTTCCCCAAATCGTTCAGCCCCAACTTAAAAAAATTGCTCTCTTAAATTGTGATTTTAATGTAAAACTGTTCATCCTTCAGTTCTAACGACAGTTATTGATCACTGAAGTTTCATTTGAAAGCGTAAATGACAAGAAAATAAATTCCAGCAGTTTTAGAATAAAGCAGATTTGTTTAACAGTAATTAACACTAGTGTATTAGTGTGTAATTAATAATGAATAACAATCTACTGAATAACAGTAAACCCACTGAAAGTCTGAAAACCGTATAAATCGTAAAATGCCCGACTCCGCTGATGTTCAGTAAACAACTCACTCAGTTTTCACGCTGTTTTCACCCCAAAACGAGAGAACCAATCATCACTGTATCCAGATGAGCTGAACTGATCTGTCGTTACTGGGTTGTAAATGTAGTGAGGATGGAACAGTCCACAAAACTCAGAACTCAAATTAGTGACGTCTCAGTTCTTCAGTGCAGCCACAATGAGGAGTGTCTGAAAATGTGCCTTATGTTCATACAGAGATGTTAATACGTGAATATTTCCATTTTTAGAGCACTTATTATCAGAGAAGTCAAATATTAGACTTAGAGCTGCTCCGTGGAGTTTAAACCAAAAATACTCTATTTTCTAAACCGCTGCTTTTTCAGTGCAGAAGTGCAGCTGCGCTGATCCTGAATCCCGTTAGTGTTTAATAAAGTATTCACAGTATTAAATTCCCTAAATCTCTATCTGAGTACTCGTATGGTCTGTGTTCCAGTGCTGAGATCTGAATGAATCTAAATTGATGGATTGAATCTACAGAATCCTGATCAGAATCAGTCGTAATCGATCTGTTCACACCGAGGTTACTGTAGCTCTGAGGTTCTGACTCGTGTTTATCCTTTGTTTAGTTTCCGTTTCAGTTCAGTTTCAGGCAGTTTTCGGGGAGAGCTGCTGGTTTCAGTTCAGTTTCAGGCAGTTTTCGGGGAGAGCTGCTGGTTTCAGTTCAGTTTCAGGCAGTTTTCGGGGAGAGCTGCTGGTTTCAGTTTAGTTTCAGGCAGTTTTAGGGGAGAGCTGCTGGTTTCAGTTCAGTTTCAGGCAGTTTTCGGGGAGAGCTGCTGGTTTCAGTTTAGTTTCAGGCAGTTTTAGGGGAGAGCTGCTGGTTTCAGTTCAGTTTCAGGCAGTTTTAGGGGAGAGCTGCTGGTTTCAGTTTAGTTTCAGGCAGTTTTAGGGGAGAGCTGCTGGTTTCAGTTTAGTTTCTCGTCTCTGAAAAGGGAGAGTTTTGGTTTAGTCTTTGTTTCAGTTGTAGTAGTTTTTTACGGTTTGCTGTTTCAGCTGTGTGAGCTGAGCGTGGCGGCAGACTGAGCTCAGCTGACATGTAGACTTCACTCAAACATCAGGATCTCCTGAGGATTCAGGGTCTGTCAGGTTTCTGCTTCTGCTCCGTCCCTCAGGATGAACACTGAGGTCTCTTCTCTGTGATTTTGACGTAATAGTTTGGATTGATTTAGAACTTTGTTATTGCAGTCAGTGAGTGCGTTACGTACACTCAATAATCCGATCATAATCAGATTTCCGATTATTCAAATGATCTAGAAATCTGATAAAGAGGCTGGATTTTATCTCAGTAATCAGATTTCTCAGTGCTGTGAACTCTTACTCTGATTTCTTTCGGGTTTCTCAGTCTGAGCATGTGTGAAACAGACGGCAGCACCGGAAATAAGCAGCAGCGTCGCTGCGACACGCAGGCAAACACTTTTGAAACCAAATACATGCTTGACGGAACAAAGGATTTAAACATTCATCTTCTAGATGGTTTGTTCATTTTTACTGGTAAAGTGGTTTGATGTTTAAAAAGCCGCCGCATGAGTTTAACGTTACGTTTACGTCGCGTCTTCTTCTGTGAGTTTATTGGCTGGTTGTAAAGCAGAAATCTGATTACTGTCTGACTCATGTAGACCCGGACTTTCCCCATTATCTGATTACTAAAGTGCATGTAAACGCGTTAATCGGATTACTGACAAAATCTGATTTTCTGCGGTTATCGGATTATTAAGTGCATGTAAACGCATTCCGTGCGTTTTTTCCACTTTTTCTCTTGTAGGGATTGTTTTAATGATAGTAACCCTGACTGTCTGTCTGTCTGTCTCTCTCTGTCTGTCTGTCTCTCTCTGTCTGTCTCTCTGTCTGTCTGTGTTTCAGGAGATCCATAAGAAGGTGATGTCTCTGCAGTTCAGTGAGTGTCACACTAAGATCCGCCATGTTGACGCTCACGCGACGCTGGGGGACGGTGTGGTGGTCCAGGTGATGGGGGAACTGTCCAACAGCGGCCGGCCCATGAGGAGATTCATGCAGACTTTCGTCCTCGCGCCTGAGGTGGGCTCGCTCGCTCTCTCTCTCTCTCTCTCTCTCTCTCTCTCTCTCTCTCTCTCTCTCTCTCTCTCACACACTCCACACACTCACGGTGTCAAAGCGTGTCAGGGCATGCGTCGTGATGCGTCTCAGCAGCATTGATTATAGTGATGCTGCCCAGACTGTGAACTCATATCAAAGTTCTTGTCTGGTGTTGTTTCGCTTGCTGTTATTGTTATTAGTCATCTATTAATGATACATTTCACAGTGGAGATCTGATGTTTGTGTTGATGTGTGAATTTCTCTTCAGACATCTGAGGCCGTATTACAGAAACTTCCTGTCCTTTTGTCTTAATTTAAGATCTTAAGATGAAGATAAGATTTTTCACACATCCGTATTACAGAAGCAAATCTGATCTTGATTTAGGAGTCTTATCTTACAGCCTCTTATCTCAGGGTAAGAAATCTTAACTTACTCGATCGAAGTCGACAATCAACTGTCACGTCTGTTGCCTAGCAACCGACCATAAGCACACACAGCTGAAATGTAAACACACAATCAAAATAATCAAGTTAGTTAGCCAAGCAGCTAACTTTAGCTACCCTTACTGATTTAAAAAGGTCAAACAAAACTGAAGTGCTATAAACGTGAAGTTAATATGGTCAGCGCCCCCTGCTGTTTATCAGAGCGTCGCCGCTCCCCAGTTTCAGTCTCCATTTCCCAAACGCTTCAGCCGAGCGCGCTAACGTTACTCCTCCTAATAAACAGACACACGTTCAGCTCCGTCTCCTCATTATTCACCACCATCACTGTAATATTTCATCATCAACGTTAACACACGAAGGTGATCAGAGGGGCGGTGGAGATCGAGTCTGCAGCGTCTGAGATCTTTAAAACGCAGAGTTAGAAAAGAAAATCATCTCACAGTGAAGCAGCGTTTTACAGTAGAAATAAATGGAGCTCATTATGCTGGTAGTGAACTATGCTGCTGACTCAGCTGCCTAAAAACCATAGAAACGGACCTTAAACAGAAGTGAGGACCCTGTTGGGGTCCATCCTAAAGTTAGGACAGGATTTAGGAGGTTCAGTCTAGTTAGGATGTTTGTGTGATGCTGTTTTCTTATCTGGAGTTCATGATGAGATTATGAAGTTAGGAGCTGTTATTCTGTAATAGCTACTGTCCTAAACTGAGTCGTCATGGAGACCAAACAGGTCAGATTTCAGAGTTAAGAGGTTTCTGTAACACGGCTCCTGTTCTTCAGATGAAGTACTGCTGTTGGCTGAATAGCTGGGGTTTGTAAACGTGTTTTGTTTATGACGTCACAGAAACAGAGGGCGGTCAGAACTGCTCTACTGAGAGGTGATAAAGGTTCTAATCTCTCTCTCTCTCTCTCTCTCTCTCATAGGGCTCTGCTGTGAATAAGTTCTACGTGCACAACGACATCTTCCGCTACGAGGAGGAACTCTTCGGAGATTCGGAGGCGGAGCTGGGAGGTGAAGTTACTCTCTACACACAGCCTTTACTGCCCACTGCTCACCACTGTAGTCATTAGAGTGTGATGATTAGAGCTGGTCTGTTTGTCTTAGACTGTTCTGTGTTCATTTCAAAGCTGGGTTTAGAGAAAGTAGGACTGAGTAGCGTCTCCCTGATGCGTCCGATCTATTTAAATGCATTTCGAATGATCAGACTTGTCTGAAAAGCCCATCTGAGTGTGTGTAGGAATTTGTGTTACTGCTTGAGTGGAGCTTTTATAATGAAAACTTACTGAATGTCTTTTTCTTTGTCTCCTGTAGAGTCTGAGGAGGAGGAGGCTGAGGAAGAGCAGGTGGAGGCTCACGCCTCTCCTGAACCTCCTCAGGACTGTTCTGCGGGAGCTGCTTACTACGAGCCTCCTCCGGTCAGGTACACACCCCGCAGTGACTGTTACTCACTTATCATTTATTCTTATGGCTTTTTTCTTTGGAGCAACCTCTTTTCTCACCGTCGCCTCTTCCTCGGCTGTGTTTAACAGTAACGGAGTGGAGGAGCAGCAGGAGGAGGCGGTGCCGGAGGCGGAGCCTGAGCCCCAGCCAGAACCAGAGGCCAGTCAGGAGGCAGAGGCGGAGCTTAACCCAGAGGCGGAGCTGCAGGTCGAGGAGGCGGAGCCTGACGTGGAGGAGAAGCTTCCAGAAGAGCCGGAGGAGAAAGCCCCCACTCCTGTCCCAGCCCCGACTCCGCCCCCTCAGACGCCAGAGCCACCCAAGGTCAGGCAAACGCACCGTCCAGGGATTTGAGTGACAGCTGGGAGCTGAGCAGGCAGTTCAGGGCAAAAACCTTTAAAAGGAGGTTCTGATTTTTCAAAATTCAGAGAGATTCAGGGTGGTTTGGTGTGAAATGGGTCAGATGTCTTCACAGTGGTGGTGATAGGAACCAGGGGTTGCCATGACGACAACACAAATACAGACATTTTATTTACTATCCAGAACCACCAGTGAACCTACACGAGTCTTCTGAGTTTATATGAATGTTGATGATGAAAATAGTGGAAAATCTGAGTAAGAGTGAGTAAATAATTGAGATTAGCGTCTGATTGGTTACTGATGCTGACCGTCATCCCTGCAGACCTTCTCCTGGGCTTCAGTGACCAGTAAGAATCTGCCACCCAGCGGAGCTCTGCCTGCTTCTGGAATCCCCCCACACGTGGTCAAAGCCCCCAGCGTACAGGTGGGTCTCACCTGGGTCATAATAGTGTGACCAATCACGGCTCAGGCAGTGCTGGGCGGAGTCAAACTTCAGTATTGTGATGTTTTTAGAATGAATCAGATCTACGTTTGCATTATTTTTGGTTTTTGATGTCTATTGTTGCTCCAATGGTGCTCCAGTTACACAGGATTTCAAAATAAGAGCGCAAAGTAGCAGAATCTTCCAGTAGCGCAGTTCAGATACGTTTCGTTTTTCTTCAGTGGTTCTCCTGGTTCTCCCCTGTCCTGTATATTTGGGCGTGTTCCTGCTCAGACTCACCTGCTCCAGCTAATCGGCTCATTAACAGCCTCTTCCAGAGCTGGAATGTGTGTGTTGGAGCAGATAGACACTAAAGTGCAGCTCCAGGACCAGGAAACCGCTGTTCATGTTCACACAGCTGTAGGTTTGTCCAGTAGAGTCGAGTCCACGCTCAGGACAGATCCCGTTTTGGGGGAGGAGCTCATGATCACAGGTTCGCTTTGAGTGGAACGTCGTCTCTGCTGTGGATCGATTACAGTTCCGTACGTCATGTTTGTGCAGAATGGCAGATAATAAGTTCAGCCCTTTATGATTGTGACTGTAGAAGGGTGACGGTGGCTCATTGTGCTCATATGTGTTATCATGTTCCTTAAGGAAGCTACCGGCACTCAGACAGCTCTGATTGGTTGTGTGGTGGGTCCTCGTGCAGGAACTGATGAATGGCTCTCACTATATTGTTTCTATATAGAACCATTAACACTCAAAGAACCCTTTCCCTGATTAAAGTGTCCTTTTTTAATTTTTAATTTTATTTTTAATTTGATTATTCAACTATCCTAATAAAACTTAAAATTCAATTTTTAATTGAACAATTTCTCCTCTAAATACATTGTTTTAATCATGTTTTAATAATGTTTTTAATGATTTTGTTTTTCTATTCACATTTACTTTTATGTATCTCTGTATTTTTGGATGTTCTGTTCAGAACCTTTTTGAAAAAGGTGCTGTATCACACAGGTTCTTCTATTGTTATATCAGCCTTGTTACAATAGAAGAACCCCATTTTGGTGCTATATATGACTATATACAACACGTTCTCCATCAGTCTGAGGAACCATTTCACCATGCAAAGAGCCCTTTAATCATGGGAAGTGTTCTTTGAGTGTTCATGGTTCTAGATAGAACCATTTTCTTTAGAGAACCCTTGAAGAAGCATCATTTTTAAGTGTGTAGGAAAGGAAGAAGCTCCAGTCTGTATGATTTGTAATAATTTAACTCTGTCTTATCCCCCCTCTGTCTGCTCTGTCGCAGCCCCGTGTGGAGGTGAAGCAGGACGCTCAGGCTCCGCTGCCGAGAGACCAGCGGCGGGAGAGGCCTGGATTCACTCCACGAGGACCCAGACCAGGTAGAACACAGCGCCCCTACAGGAATGTAGTGTTGCGTCCGTACGTCAGTCTGGAGCTTAAAACTGCTTAATAACTGCACATTTACAGGCGTCTTAACCTCACTGCTGTTTCCAACAGGTGCTCGAATATTCTTTCTCAAAATAGCTATTAAAAACCATATGATGCTTTAATAATCATAACTTCAACTCTGCCTGGCGCTGAAGACGTGTCCAGCAGGCAGCACTGATGTGCTGTGGGTTGCAGTGGTGGAGTCCGCGATTAATGCTGTCTTAAAGTAGACGTGAAGCCGGGGTTAAGCTGCACGACTTCAGCCCTGATTCTCAGTCTGAGTCGGAGCTAGTCGACAGTTGGAGAGAGAGTCGAGTCGTGTTTGAGGGGCGCAGACTCAGATTTACAGCCTCTCGATCGTGTTTCAGACCAGAGTTTACCAAATACGTCTGATTTTTTTCGACCCGACTCCGGGCGAAATCTAGTGTAAACTGATCAGCGACTCAATCTGAGCGGATTCCTGCAACAGCCAATGAAAACAGAGCACAAAGGAAGAAAATACAGCAAGATAACAAAGAAGAATAGAGAAAGTCTCACATGTGGAGCAAAGCTTTTTAATGAGCTGAGTTTAAGACACAATCGAGTTTATGTACGTTTAAAACTCTAAAAAATAAAAAAATCATATTTTAACCCATGATCCACTTAAACATGTTTACCTGCTGCTTCTTTACTGTTTCAGCACAAACGGCAGAGAAAACAGCAGCAGCCGCTACACGTTTGTTTATCTGCGTCTCCTAGTAACGAGAGAACGCATGAGATCACAAGAGTTCAGTGAGTTCAGTGAGCTCCGTTCAGTTCAGCAGCAGCTGAAAAGTTGAGTAGTGTGTGATCCCTAATCGTTTAGTGTGGATCCCCAATCTGCAGGAGCCAGTCTGATAGTGAGACGCCCAGTCTGTTAGTCGTGTAGTGAACCCAGCGCTTTAGTGAGTCATCTGTATCACTTGAAGGTCGTTTAAGTCATTTGTTTTTGAGCATTTAAGTTGTTTATTTTATGGAGCTGTTTGGCTGGTTAGGGTTTATTTTCCCCAAAATCACGGAAAGCAGCACTGAGGACGTCACGCATACTGCAGATACTAAATAGAGAACTGGACACCAAAGTTAATAAAGAATACTGGAGTATTCAAGTTGATTCTTAGACTTTTTTTTTCAAACATAAGGTTAGAAAAAAAGCTTATTTATTTATTTTTTACTCTATATTCTGATACGGTGAGGTCTTCATACCCTTCCCACACTGCACCTCTGCTCTGTGGCGGTGAAGCCGGTGACACACACGTTCCTGCTTATGAAACCGATGTAAAACATTGCCTAAGCAGGAAGCAGCTGAGTCGGTTCTCGCCCAAATAGTTAAGGCATTACTGTGGAGCAGCTGAACGAGTCTGTGAATGATCCACACCTCTGTCAGCTGCAGCACTGACTGACTGACTGACTGACTGACTGACTGACGGCGTTAATGGTCAAACCTGTTTGACTGAGTGTTTGTGTTCTGTGTCCTGGTCAGATGGAGCTGCGTCTGAGGCTCAGGGAGGAAAACCCTACTTCAGCTTCAAAGGTGAGTCTGAGTCTCAGCTCTGATCAGACTCTAAAAACATGGGCGGAAATAAATGTGTGTGTGTGTGTATATATATATATATATATATGTGTGTGTGTATGTGTGTGTGTATGTATATGTGTGTGTGTGTGTGTATATGTGTGTGTGTGTGTGTGTGTGTGTATATTTACACATACACACACACACACACACACACACACACACACACACACTCACACATATATGTGTATATATATATATATATATATATATATATATATATATATATATACACACACACACACATACATACATACATACATACATACATTCACACACACACACACACTCAAACATACACTCAACCATACACACAAACACACACACATGCATATATACACACACACACACACACACAGTGAGTGGACTGCTGTGCTGGACTGTGCAACTCTTGATTGATTGATTTTTATTGATTTATTTATTTCTTTATTTGACTTTATTTTCCAGGCCGTGGTGAGTCTGAAGGCGGGGAGGCTGAAGGCCGACGGTCAGTCCGTTACCCGGACAGTCACCAGCTGTTCGTCGGGAATCTTCCTCACGACATCGACGAGGGGGAGCTGAAGGACTTCTTCATGAGTAAGAACTCTAATACAGCGTCTGTTTACATGCCAAATCAGATTAATACAGTCCGATTACAGATTCAGACTGAGGTGTTTATTCTCACTCTACTCAACAGTCTGATGGAAATCTCTGTTTACATGCTCACTACAAGTAATCAGATCCAAAATTATGCGCATGCGTAGAGAACCGCTTAGTGTAGACGTTACCATGACAACCAGCATCACGTGAGTCCAGTCAGAGTGAGACGAGCAGCAGTGAGCAGTGCTTGTGTTTTTAACTGCTTTAAAATGATGTCAGACTCAGGAAAACGTCCTTCACATGTCCTTATTAAAGAAGGCCGAGAGGAAGACGTCGTGTTCTGAGACACATAAGCTGGACGTCCGTCCCACCGCCGTCTTTTAAAGATCAGAGCAGAAACTTCGTCTCCTCTGCAGACCAGTTTCTGCTCCGCCATGTTGAACGGTATAAACTTTCACTACGACACGACGAACATGATCAGAACGGACTTAAACTTTCCGATAGGGAATGTAATCAGATACAGGCGTTTACATGGATATTATGTGGATATTATTATAAGGTCACTTTTTAAAGTGCTCAGGATGTAAAAATGACTGAGGTCAGGGTTTCTTCTGGTGTTGATCCATGTTGATTGGCTGTTGTGTTTGTTTCTCAGCGTTCGGTAACGTGGTGGAGATGCGCATCAACACGAAGGGCGTCGGAGGGAAGCTGCCCAACTTCGGCTTCGTGGTCTTCGATGACTCTGATCCTGTGCAAAGGATTCTGGGAGCCAAGGTGGGAGAAAAATATATATATATATATATATATATATATATATATATATTTTGTACATTTTCAGGACAGAAATGAAAACAGGAATAAAAATACAGCACCTACAAAACACTATTGACTTCATAAAAGATGGGGCTTTATTTTATGTAGATATTTATAGTACATATTAACATCTGGTATAATATAATAATAATGTATTTATATAGCAGCTGATAAATAATAGCAGAAGAGGGAAATATTAATAATTACAATTAAAAGGCACAAGAAAAAAGTATTAAATAAAAATACAGTAATAATTGAGTGAAGGAAGGAAATGATAAATAACTGAAACAGAACTGCTCGTTTGACTCTGCCGTTCCACCTTAAGTAGTGCCGTAGTTTCATTCTGCTTCCTGTAACTGCTGCACTGTTTAAGGTGGAACTGCATATTTGACTAAAACACTGGCAGAGAGGAGTTAAACTTCAGAATTGTGATCGTCAAAGACTGTAAATAGGAAAATGAGTTAACGGCGTTGATGAAAATTAGTGCTGCTAATTTATCTCGTTAATGACTTTAACACAGCTAATATAAAAACGATGCGTAAGGTCAGATCAGAGATTATATTCTGAATATTAGATGAAATCTGGTGTTGATGTTTGTGTTTCCGTCTCCGTCCCACCTGCAGCCCATCATGTTCCGCGGCGAGGTGCGTCTGAACGTGGAGGAGAAGAAGACGAGAGCGGCCAGAGAGCGGGAAACCCGGGGTACCGGAGACGGTCGCCGTGGAGACCGCGGCCCCGGCGGGCCCCGAGGCCCCATGGGGAACGGCATGGGCCGGGACGGGCGCGGACCCCCCTCCACCCGCGGCGGCATGGGGTCCGGCCGAGGCGGGGGCCAGAGCGGAGAGAGCAGGTTCCCAGGAGCACGCCGCTGAGGAGCGCCCCCTACCAACCGGGAGGCGGAACTGCGCTCTGTAATCACATCGATGGGCGAAAAAAAAAAAACAACAAATTTTTTTTCTTTCCTTTTTTGGCTTTTGGAATGTGACCGGCCATCAGAAACCATTTGATGTGAAAAAGACTAAACAGAACTCACTCTCTCACACTGATAAAGGAGTCGTTTTTTTTCCAAAATCTTCATCGCTTTCTTTTTTTTTTCTTTCTTTTTCTTTTTTTCTTTGCAAAGAGAAAAGGAAAGGGGGGGGTGGTTTATTTTCTGTAGAACAAAAAAAAAAGATGAATGTCACGAACGGGGTTTCCTCATGGAACTGTCGACTCGCACATTTTATAACGGACATGAACATCAAAGCTTCAAAAAAAAAAAAATCAACGCTCACTGTACAACTTATTTATTTTGTTAGTTAATAAAAAAAAACAGTGGTGGTGCCTTAAACTGTTCTCGCCCATTTTCTCTCTCTCTCTCTCTCTCTCTCTCTCTCTCTCTCTCTCTCTCTCTCTCGTCCTGTGGAAGACGAAAGGACTAAAGTCGTCAGGAGTGGAGCTGTTATCGCATTAATTAACTCATTGCAGAAGGCAGTCGGTCGTATGATGGCAAGGCAGTGTTACCGGTACTGATTCCTGATAATCCCAGATTAGTACTGTTCATGTGGAGTTTTTTTATGTATAGATGTTTGTTTTTAGTCTGACTTTACGAGTAGCTGGTTGAGCAGCTTGCTGAAGCAGAGCTTACGTACCTGCAGTATTCCGTACTGAACTCTTCTCCTACGTGTTGCAGTTGGTTTTCTACTTTATTTTGTTTGTTGTTTTCTTTCATTTTTCCCTCTGATCTCTGAAACCACTCTGCACGGCCATTTTCCGGAACAGGATGCTCTTTTTGATACAGAGTTCTGAAGCTTGGTTGTCTTGCACTTTCTCCTCCACCCCTCCACTCAAGCTTTGGTTCCACTCCTCGTATTTCTTTTTTATTTTTTTATTATTTTTCTGTTGCGTGGGTTTGGATCTTACTCCCATTTGGCTTCAGCAGGTTAAGTTTGAATGTGTTTTCAACTTTCAATAAACTACTGATATCTGCAACCGTGCCTGACCCACCTCTCATATGTTCTCTGCATGTTCTTCATTTGGTTTTGTCCGTCTGAAAGCTTCTCCACACGTTCTGCAGGTTGGAAAAGGAGCAGTGCTCCCAGCTGGTATCGTGTCGGAGCTCCTCACTGGTTTGTAAACAGTCCATTAGTACGGCTGTTTGTGGACCCTGTTACCACAAACTGACCGAATGTGTGTGGATTCTTGTAACACTGTGATGGATTCATACTGCTGAACGAGAACGCGCTACCTTCACGGTTCTTATCCTCCAGCTTCCCGTTTGAGTTCTCCGTTCCACCTTAAACGCTGAGGCTGTTGGTCTCAGGTATCTGAAGCCCCAAAATGTAACAGCTGCACCATTTAAGGTGGAACGGAGATTTTAAATGAGGGCCTGATGTGTGGTTAGTGTGTTGTGCTGGTCTGAGTGGATCAGACACAGCAGCGCTGCTGGAGTTTTTAAACACCTCAGTGTCACTGCTGGACTGAGAATAGTCCACCAACCAAAAACATCCAGCCAACAGCGTCCTGTGGGCAGCGTCCTGTGACCACTGATGAAGGACTAGAGGATGACCAACACAGACTGTGCAGCAGCAGATGAGCTATCGTCTCTGACTTTACATCTACAAGGTGGACTGACAAGGTAGGAGTGTCTAATAGAGTGGACAGTGAGTGGACACACTCATACCAGCGCAACACACACTAACACACCACCACCACGTCAGTGTTACTGCAGTGCTGAGAATGACCCACCACCCTATATATATGTGTATATATATATATATGTGTGTATATATATATATATGTGTGTGTATATATATGTGTATATATATGTGTATATATGTGTATATAAATGTATGTATATATCTATGTATATAATATATGTATATGTGTGTGTGTGTGTGTGTGTGTGTCAGTTCAGTCCTAGAAGTTGGTTGTTCTTCCCTGTGCCCTACAGACAGTAGTGCACTAGGTAGGGAGCAGTATGAGGTTCAGTCGTAGTGGCTCCCATTTAAAGTGAACTAGGAAGCGCTATGAGTTCTCAATAGTGAAAAATAGTGAAATCTTAAACGCTGAAACGCTTTTCTTACGGGTTTATTTTACATTTTTACGTTATAATTCGACTTTTCAAGTTAAATGTCATTTATTAGCGCTAATAACTAATAATTTAGCGCTTTCTGGTATCAGTAACTCAAGACTAAGTCCACTCCTGTCCACCCTGAGGTTCTGCGGGCCGCTCTGATGTATATTAAACATACAGAGTTAATATCTGGTGCGAACAGGATCTTTATCTCGGTTATATCTGATTGCCCGGCAACGCTGCAGGTTTGTTTACAGATCGGTTGCCACTGGAGACGCGGGCGCCGCGTGAGACTCTTTTCCCGCCACGTCTGTTTTTGTTTGTTTTTGTTTGTTTTTGTTTGTTTTCGGCGGTTCTGCGGTTTTAACTCGGGTCCTGAGGGAGATGATCCGATCTGGAGGCACCAGGAGCTCCGGTGAGTGTGACCAAACCCGAGGTTCCGCCGTTCTAGCCCGGTAAACAACTTCACTCACGAGGCTGGAGGCAGCTTCCTGTTCGAATTGTCCCGTTCCACCTTAAATAGTGCAGCGGTTACTGTATCGATTGAGGCGCCTGTGTGAAACTGCTGCTCCGTTTAAGGTGGAACGGGGAAATTCGAACGAGTAATCGAGTCCAGCCTCGTTGTTTACTCGGTAAACTGAGTTCAGCTGAAGTGGGACACGAACAGATTCGCTCAGGAGAGTCGACTCTTATTGGATCCGCTCATATTCGGGCTGTATTGAATTATATTAATGCTGAGTTATGTTGCTGCGCTTGTTTACGGAGGATCTGTCTCAAAGGGGAACTCCACCCACTTTCCTAAATTCCTTCATAATTAAGTGGTTAAGATGTAAACAGAGCGGTTCAGAGTGGTTTGGTGTGAAACGCTCTGTTCTAGATAAACTTACCGAGTCAGAACTGTTCACAGTGGTGGTGATAGGAACCAGACGTCCACCTCTAAAAGCTCCCTCACAGAAAGTTCCTACATGAAATGGTTATGAATTCACTGCCTGATGACTGAGACACTGTTTTATGATAGTTTAGAGAACTTAAACTCCATTCATGGTGGAGGGATACATGCAGGGCACTGTGAGGCAAAATAGTCCCCAAAGAAAACTTATTATTTCAGATTTTCCACTATTTTCATCATCAACATTCATATAAACTCAGAAGACTCGTGTAGGTTCACTGGTGGTTCTGGATAGTAAATAAACTGTCTATATTTGTGTTGTAGTCGTGTTCCTGACCGTTCGTGTTCTCCTCTTGCAGTGTGATGGAGAGGTATGAGTGTCTGGGGCTGGTGGGTGAGGGAAGCTATGGAACGGTCACCAAATGCCGCCACCGGGAGAGCGGCCGGATCGTGGCTGTCAAGAAGTTTCTGGAGAGCGATGAGGACAAGAGTGTGAAGAAGATCGCACTGAGGGAGATCAAACTGCTGAAGGTACGACTGGAGTACCGTTCACCCCCGTTCTTCTCCGTTCATCTCCATAAACCTTCATCCTCCCTCGTTCATCTCTGTTCACCTAAACCAGGGGCAGCAACCCAAATGTTAAGAAGTGCCATTTCAGCAAAAATCAAACCACCTTGGGAGCCACAACACTGATGTCCATTTTACCGTCTTGGCTGTAAATGTGTCTCAGTATGTGGTAATGTACCAGTATAGGCTAACAAATTTAATATGAACGAAAACTCAGACTCACTTTGCTCTGCTTTAAGCTTTAGTTCAGCTATAGCTGCTTTTCTCACATCTCCAGCAGGAAACTTTTCCAAGAGTAGAACAGTTTATTGTAAAACGTCTCTCAACGTTCGACTTTTTACGAGGCTGAAGTCGCTTCTGATTTGCAGCTTCTTGTTCGAATTTTCCCGTTCCACCTTAAATGGTGCCTGAGGTGCCAGAATGTAAACGCTGCACCATTTAAGGTGGAATGGAAAAATTCAAATGAGAAACTGACTTCAGCCTCGTGACTTTTTAGTGTTTGTCAGTTTCTTGTTGCAGATTAAACGTATCAGGAAACCAGCTGGAGTGATTATAAACGCAAATAAGTCCATTCATCTCCAAATTATTGATGTTCATCTTAAATCTCTCTCTTTGCCATTTCGTTAGCTACTAGCTAGGCGAGGTTGTTGTCTGTGTTGCTATGGTGACCAGCAGTCTGCGCTGATCTTCAGGGTTAAAGGGTGAATTAGCAGTTCTACATTAACTCCAGAGTTTAAGACCATTTATTGTTAAACTGTGTTGAACGATCAGCAGAGCTTTATTTTACTGTAAAGGAGGATTATTTTATTTTTACCTACTAATCTGATTCAGCTGTGGAGCAACAGGGCAGTAAAAGAGCCGCATGATGCCGACCGCTGACCTACACTGACCTCAACTGATCTCCATTCAAATCCACTCACCTCTGTTCGTGTATCTTCACCTCCGTTCTTTCTCGTCCATCTCCGTTTGCCTCTGTTCACCTTCACTCACCTCATCTCTGTTCACCTCAGCTCGTCTCCACTCATGTTTTCCTCGATTAATCTTTGTTTATCTCTACTCATCTAATTTCTCCTCCATTCACCCGTATTAATCTCTGTTCACCTTCTCTCACAATAGAGAGGAAAACATATTCAATTTTAAACTGAACCTCCACATAAGAATAAGAGAAATTATTTGCTATTTCAATGAGAAAAGTCATGAAGATCTTCAGGGTGACAGTCTCAGGGTGATGTCTCTGGGTTTTCTGACTGTCTTCACTGAAATGAATAGTTGTCTCTGGTGTAATATGGCCGAAAGACAGTGGGTTGACTTACTAAGGGGTTATATCTGCATTCATAGAATTACCTTTGATTAAGAGGTAAAGGATAAATACAGTCATACTGTTAAAGGTCACAGGGCTACTTTATTAAAAATAATTACAGTTTACATTCTAAATCAGCTTTGCAATTACTTAAATTACAATTATAAATAAAAATAATTAATTAATATAATATAATACAGAGTGTCTCAAAAGGAAGGAAAACCCATCTAAAATGAAAACGGTTTAGCAGACGGTGATCCAGTTTTAGGCCACGCCCCCAACATGGAACATTATATGGGTTTTCCTTCCTTTTGAGACACTCTGTATTATTTTATATTAATTAATTATTTTTATCTTTAATTGTAATTTAAGTAATTACAAAGCTGACTGGTCGAGAATGTAAATTGTAATATTTTTTAATTGAGTACTTGCGATAGCCCTGTGATCTTTAAAGTAGAGCTGTGTTTATCCTGTAACTCTTAATCAAAGGTAATTCTGTGAATGCAGATTTGACCCTTTTTTGCCGAGT